AGAGAGAGAGAGAGAGAGAGAGAGAGAGAGAGAGAGAGAGAGAGAGAGAGAGAGGGAGGGAGAACAACAAGCTTGGCCTCTACTTACTTTGAGCATGGAACGCATAGTGTTGAGACGTAGACTCGAGTATTTTTGTCACCCTTCTTGTATTCATGCTGCCACTGAGCGACACTGTTTCTATCCGAATTCGCACCCCCAGGTTCTCTAGAACCGCAGTTTGCACAAACTGCACATTCTTGACAATGCCATCTTCCTTGGGGTACTCGTCGAAGTCCAACACAATAAATATGATACCTAAAAATATATTTTAATATAAAAATTATGTTTACATAACTTTCCAAAATAAAAAGAGCCCAATTTATTACAAATTTTGTATAAGGGAAACACACCCTCTATCACACATGTCACAAAAGAGCATTTTATCTTCATCTGCCGGATCATGGCATTGCGCACAAGTTTTGCAGTCAGTGCATTGCCATGCATACGATTGAATGTGAGGAACCATATCTAGCGTTAAATCTATACACGATGGATGTACTGTAAGAAAAATTAAAATTGTTATAGCAAAACTTTTGAAAAATATGGACTTAAAGATATTATATTCAAAAGAATTACCATGTCCACTGCAAGTGCCACATTGTACTAATACTTCATTTTTGCTATGTTTGTTTAAGACTTTCAAGCACATTTTACATTTCAGTTTGACTTCTTCTTTTGGATTCACTATCTCCATATCCACATCGTCCATCGTTGACTGAGAACCTTCAGTGTCTTGTGTTCCCTCGCTAGAAGATGAACTATATAAAAAAATAGACAACTATTTTTTCACAAGACGCATTACAATCTAAATAATTTAAAACTGTGACACGAACCTCGAGTCGTCCGAAGATGAATCACTATCACTATCACTTTGAGATCCCTCTGATTGACTATCAAATTTACGTTCGTTTGGTCTCATTGGGCCATATAAAACAGTATTCAAAGGATAGTATCGCAGTTCAGCTGGTGTATATTCACGATAATAGTCTGTGTATTGACCTGGTATTAATGCAACAGGATAATGACCGATTTTACGTTCCGTTTCAACTTTCTGTTGTTTCTTTGGCACATGTATAGTAAAGGTTTGCAGATCTAAACTACACTTTCTATTTTCTCTGCGAGCTTTGTTCAGTCTAATGTTCCAAGATAGTGCAGACTGAACTGCCATTTCTGCCAGGTCGATTCTGTTCTTTTCTGCGTTTGCAGCTGCAGATAATTCTTTCTGTTTTTTGGAATGTTCTTTCACCTGCTTTTCGCGCATATGTTTCCTATATTCTTCATACTGATCAGGGAAATCACTGCACATTACATCTAGTACTTCTGAACTGCATATAGCTGTTAAACCTGAAGTAGTAATAAAACATTAGATATATTGCAACTGTTCTATGTTTAGAATGATTGTATAAGTACATGATTCTTACCCATATCACACATTGCTTCGCTAACTAAACCATTTTCTCTTAAGTAATTTCTTTCTTCCATATCCACTACTCTACGCTTTAAATCTGGGTACTTTCTCTTGAATGACTTTACGCCAAGGTACTGGGATATTTGTTCTTGTATCATGAAAGTTTCTCCTTTACGGTCAAGTGGCCATTCATACTCTGCAATCTTGTCTACTGTAAATGGTCCTTCATCTGGATCAAAGTTAATTTCCATCCTTCGATTCTTCACCTTCACTTTTTCTGACTCTGTGGTTGCTGTACTGAGCACACTTCCCTGGGACTCTTCATTTACCATTGTTTCAGAAGCTACAACACGTACCATTAAAACTTGACTTAGCTATTTGAAAACATAACCAATTAAAATGTTATAATGTATATTCTATAATTTTAATTAAAATCTATAAATTGTTTGAAAATAATACATCACATAAGGAAAAGTTACATTTGAACTAATGTAATCAACAAATCAGAAGATAAATGACTGTTGATAAAAAATTAAACTTAACAATAAATATCAATACTTTTCCGGTTTGATATAAGTATTTAAAAAATATATACACTCTGAAAAAATATTTTGCTAACCATTATGGATTCGATATAACGTATACACTAACATCAATTATGGCTTCAAGCAGCAGCACATTTTGCCTTTGATTCAAATACAACTATTTCACATTTGGGTACTTGAGAGATGTTAGGACACAAGAAAAGATCTATTTATAGATACCTTGCTTGGAGGTCTACCAATACAGTTGTCTTTTGATTTAGTTTAGTCATATGATGACTAAGGCTTATATTTCCTTATTGCTAATACAAAGATAATTTGTAGTATCTGATAATAAACTAGCAGTTTAAGGAAACCGACAAACGGTGCTTCATCAACATTGTATAAGTAACATGTAATAGTACGTAAATATAAACACTGATGTGTATCATTATACCTTTCCATGTTCTAAATTCAATGTGAATAATATATGTATTCAATACAGTGAGATATAATATGTAATATGTAAACAAAAATCTGTTTATCGATTTCATAGACTTTGATAAACCACAAAGAGAATAAGATAACGATTAATATAGAGAATTGATTTGAGTACCTGGTGCAGAAATATTTCTAGCTGGGGTTTGAGATCTTGATCCAGATTCTGCGCTCATTCTCGTTTCTTCGTCTATCACTTGCACAGTGGATACATTTTCATGTTTTCCGGTCGCTTCTGGTAGTCGTTTCGATGTTGGCGTCAACCAATTCTGATGTTCTGGAGGTACCAGCATATCTTTATTTTCAGATTTCGCATTCTCTGTTGTCTTATCAGACTTCTCGTCTGGAGTTTGCTTTAATGCAGTCTTTTGCATTTTTTCAGAGACTACCTCTACCTGCTTTTTATCTTTGACATTATCTTTAGACTCACTTGTTGCTGATTTAGAAATATCACTACTTGGATCCAAATCTACTTCTTGTATTTGTTTATTTGTGTCTATGATTACATTTGTAGAATCTGAAATAGTTGCGTTTGCAATCTTGGATGCATCATTCTTTTGTCCTGTAGATTTTTTCTCAGCTCTACCTACAACTTTAGTATCTACTGCAGGCTGTTTTAAAGCTTTATACAATTCTGATGGCTTTGCACAGGACTCTTCTTGCCCAGGAGGACAATCAATTGTTATTACCGCAGTCGTTGAAGCTTCTATGGCAGTTAAGTCTTGTTCTATTCGAACCTTTTTGTTCATCTGTGTATCTGTGTTATCTAATTTTCTTTTACCTCGACCTATAAAAGAAATATCCCCATAAAAGCAACCTATGTTTACTAAAGCTTTTTTACTCAGTACAATGTATCCTATATAAATATCCCATATAAATATTGAATGGTTTTTTTAACACCTTGTATATATGTACATAAAACAAATGTATGTATTCATTACATTGTTAATGTTTAAGGGCTTCTGGAAGACATAAAAAACAATGAAGTAAATATTATATAAAATACAAACCTCGTCCTCTACCCCTTTTAGGAGGTGCATAACTTTTTTGACTCCTGCAAGTTCTTTTAGGCCTCTCATTTTCTCTGGACTCTACTTGTGGTGCTTGCAATTGTTGTTGTTGCATTTGTTGAGCTTCATCCAAAGTCAACGGGTCTCGGGATAACAGCATATGTGTTGGAGGATGAACAGTTGGTTGGGCTAATGGATTTCTTCTAGGTCTGCCTCTTCTTTTGGGTACCTTCACTTCTGGAATTCTCGTAGGCGAAACTTCCTCTATGATCACTACATCTTGGCTGGAATTTGAATTCTCATTTACTATAATCAGTTCCGGTCGGTGCTCGATGATTTCGCAATCAGAGTTCATGGGAGAACTGGTGGAATTTTTGTTCAGCATGTCTTTAAGTTTATCGTTCATCAAGCTATCCTGTGACTTCGACGGTCTGACTTGGGTGATACTAATCTCCTGACTAATCACGTTCATCTGTTGAAGACTAATCGCACTAGATTTTGGATCAAACATAAATTGCTTCTGGTTTCTGGATGTAACTGGCTGAATAGTAACCTCTGGCAAGATCTGAGTTAATTGAGTTTCCAATTTCGACTTTTTGGGCTCTATTGGGGACACAGTTATGTCCTTACGTTTAGGAGATATTTCTATTGTACTATCAGCTTTCTTTCCTTGCATCTGAACCGGCTCAATCGTCAATTCTGAACGGTTACTTTGCAAGATTGTTGGATGTCCAGCTTTGAGGAATTTCAATGCAGTCTCCTTGTGAGTCTGTGTCTGTTCTTTATACCTCTGACCAAAACTGTGCTGGTCTGCAAGTTCCTTCGGTCGATAGCTAGCCTCTCCATGATTATCGCAAGCAACAATGGTTGGATGTCCAGTTTTGGATAACTTAATTTTCATTTCAAGAGGCGATTCAGTGTCTCTACGTCTTTGCTGCCTTTCCTTCTTATCAGGATCCACTATAGAAGCATCGCCTGTTTTCAACAGTTTAATTTTCATTCCTAAAGTAGAGTCAGAGGTTTTCGGGTGTTCTGCATCAGAAACACGTGATGTTTTACTCGCATCCTCTGCAGCTATCTCTGGTTGTATAATGGAAGCATCACCAGTTTTAGACAACTTGATCTTCATTCCAATAGGTGATTCTGTTCTTTTAGGAGTTTCCAAAAGGGGTCTATTGCTTTCTTCCAGTTGTTCTTGTTTTTCAGTAGGTACTATTGATGGTTCGCCAAATTTGGAAAGCTTAATCTTCATGCCGATAGGAGATTCAACTTTCTGTAGAGATTCTTGACAGACCTCAGGTTCTTCAGAACATTCTGATGCTATTACTGATGTATCTCCAGACTTGATCACCTTAATTTTCATGCCTAAGGAGTCTGATATTTTAACAGTATCTTGTGATGCATCCTGCTTTTCTTTGGCCTCCGCTTTCTCCTTCAATTTTATATCCTTACTTTCATCAGAGATTTCTGAGTGGACGATGGATGCGTCTCCAGTCTTAGATAATTTGATCTTCATTCCAAGAGGTGATTCTGTTCGTTTGGGAACATCTGGAACTTCTAATTTCTGATTTGCATCCTCGGGAGCTTCCATTGGAATTATAGATGCTCCACCCTTCGTTTTGGCTAACTTGATTTTCATTCCAATGGGAGAATCAGTTCTTTTAGGTGCCTCAGGCGATGATTCCAGCTTGTCCTTCATCTTGTTGTCCTTACCTTCTTCTGGCACATCGGGAGAGACAATGGAAGCATCTCCGGTCTTGGATAACTTAATTTTCATCCCGATTGGTGAATCTGTTCTTTTGGGGGAGTCATAAGAAGTCTCTTTTGGTCTTACCTGTGATTCTCTGTGTTCTTCTGGAATATCTTGTCTCTCAGTTGATATTATGGAAGCATCTCCACTTTTTGAAAGCTTGATCTTCATTCCAATTGGGGACTCCGTTCTCTTGGGACTACCTTGGACTATATCCAGCTTATCTTTATGCTTCATCTGCACGTCTTTCGAATCCTGTTGCACTATAGAGGCGTCACCAGTCTTAGACAATTTAATCTTCATCCCAATCGGTGATTCAGTTCTCTTGGCTTCTTCAAATTTATGTTTCCCTTCCTTGGAATCATCGCCAGCCTCGTGTTTGTCAGACGAGACAATGGAAGCATCACCAGATTTTGATAATTTGATTTTCATGCCAATCGGTGACAACGATAAAGTCCCTTCCGAGTACCATTGTCCTACTTCTTCGATGTTCTCGTTGGATATTATAGAAGGATGACCACCTTTTGATAATTTCAGCTTTATCTTTCCCAATTTTTGACCTGGACTATCTTCAGGATTCGGTGAATTAGTCGCAGACCTGATCTTCGGGCTTTTAGGTGACCTGGGTTCTGCGCAATCAGTAATCGCGGATTTAGCAATTTTCAATATGATCCTTGGAGAACCAACATTTTCAAAATCATGCTTCTCAGAATCTTTGCGCGGCGTGTCCACGATCTTCGGCTCCGTTTGATGCGACAACTTTGGTGACTCTAGCATCTTCTGAAAAGCGATTAATTTAGCATCTTTTTGAATTAAAAGACTATCCTTTGAAGCTGTTGGAGAGATAGCAACTTTTGTTACATCTGTAGTTGGTATTTCTATTTTAGGCGGTTCCTTCAGACGTTCCTCCAAGATTGATACTTTTGGGATCGTCTCAGACGTTTTTAAAGGCAAGGAGTGTAATGCTTCCGGAATTTTCTCCTCCACAAATAGTTCTGTTTGTTGCACTTCCATAGTTTCCAACGGAACTGAACCAAATTTAATTTTTGATTCAAGCAACTTAATTCCCTCTTCCTCTGCTATCAGTTTCTCCTTGTTTGAATCAAATTGTCCCCTTGTAGCATCTAGTTTCACCTGTTCAGCTAGCTTTCTTTCGCTCTCCAACTTTGCTGCTTCCGAAATGATCTCAGCTTCTGAGATGGAAATTGAATCTGTTGCGATGCTCTGCAGTTCCTCTGCCAGCTCTGTGTCTTCGCACATATCTTCGTCAGGAACAAAAAGAGCTGTTGTATTTGTCTGCTTCGAAATATCTTCTACAACGCTCTCTACCATTTTCGGGGAAAGTATTAATGGAGAATCAATGGCTTGTTCCTCAGATTCTTGGAGGAACTTAACAGCTGATTCGAGTTCAGATATCTCAGAACTGGGTTGTGAAGTTTCTGTGGTTTGTACATTGCTCAGGTTTTCAGAAGGATCATCATTTGCTGGTATCATGTCTGAAACCAATTCCAATTTTGCCTCGGTTTCCTCCAGTTCGTCTACAGTCTCTAGCGGTGCCTCTTCAAAATCCATATCTAATTCATTCTCAGGCAAATCGGAATTCGCTTCTAACTCCTTCTGCAGACTTTGCACATTTTCTGAATTTATGGATTCAGAAATCGTGCTTTCTTTCACCTTTGACAAACTGTCTGTTTCCGAATCTTCGGGTATGACATTAGAAACTTCCATTAGATTACTGTTTTCAGTATTTTCTTGCAACAATGTGGTATCGTTATCTGTTAAACAACTGCTAATGACATCCGTCATATAATGTGTAGTCTGGTTCGATTGTTCTAATAATAGGCTCATGTCCACATCCTTCGATAGTGTTTCTTGTTCTTGGGATGGTTTCTCTGCTTTCACTATTTTTAACGTAGTATCCTCCCCTTCTTGTATTAAATCCAAGCCCAACAAACCTTCGAGAGAATCTATATTTTGTGTAGACATTGAATCCTCCATTTCTTTACCCATGACATTTTCAGAGCTCTCTGGTAACTTCTCCGTCAACTCTACCATCGTAGTATCAACCAGCGGCAAAGATGCAGACTCTTCTAAGACTGACGCCATTTCATCTGTTACAACTGCTTCTGTAGTTAAAATATTTTTAAAGTCAGTTGCGCTTCTGACATCGTCTAATATGCTTGTAACAATATCCTCCGTGTTATCATTCTGTTCTCCAGAAAACATTTCTTCTACAGTATTAGCAGATTCTAATATTGCCTTAAAATTATTTTCATTAGTATCAGTTTTAGAATCATTACTTTCTATCTGTTCTTTTCGTGATAATTCCACATCTTCAGTTAGCATTGACTCTTCAGTGTTGTTTGTGTTAATAACTTTTTCTATATTTTCATCTAAGGTATCATGCTTTTCTATTTTTATTACTTCTCCTATGCTAGCATCATCCTTTTCTAGTACATAAACTGATTCCTCTTCTTTTTTATCATTAATTATGTTTTCTTCTACTATTTGATCAAAATTATCTTGATACAATACTAATTTAGATTCAATCTTCACTTCTTCTAAATTTAAAGTAATTCTTTCCTCTGCATCTTCTTCTACATTCTCTGCAGGTACTATGGGTTCTCTGCACTCGGATGGTAACAAAAGTAATTCTTCTAAATTAGATACTCCATCTTCACTTTTCACAGAATCACTAACTTCATCATTTTCTACATTTGCATCTGATTCTATTAAAGTCTTTACATGCATCAGCTTAAACTCTTCCTGATTTTTCTTCTGTCCTTCTTTTGGTGTTTCCAATTCAATTGTTTCATATTCCATCTCTTCTTCTTCTTGTAAAGAAACTTTGAGAGAAGATTTTTCTTTATCATTAATTAATGTGTCTCTATTTTCTTCAGAAACTTTTGCAACCTCTAATTCAGCACACACCTGAGAAATATTAATTTCATTTTTCTCAACTGTTATCTCGTCTGAATTTTCGTTTTCTATTGTGCTGTGAACTTCTGTTAGTTCCTGACTTTGTACTTCAGGAATACATTCTTCAATTGGCAATGGTTCTGTATGAGTAGTTTCTACTTTGCAATTATTTTCCTCTAAAGAATCGACTTTGATCTCAGAACTGTTACCTATAGTATCAATGTCCATAGGAACTGAAATATTTGAAATTGTTTCTAGATGAATTTCAGGCTCTTCGTTTATTTCCATTGTCATTGGTACTTCAATCACAGAAGCTGTATCAGATTTTTTTGAAGTCTTTATTTCATCTTTAAATGATTCCTCTTCAACTGATAATTCCACTGCTTCTTTGGATTGTACAGTAATAGATGCCTTTATTTCAACTTCTGATAACACTGAATTTAAATTGTTACTAGCTTCAGTTTGCAGGTTTCTACTAACATTTGAACTCGCAATATTCACAGTATTATCAATTACATTTGCAGTTTCTGTAGTTAATTTTATACTAGATGATGTATCCAATTTTGGTGAAGATAATTCACTGGGCAGCAATTCAGATTCCTGTAACATTTCTTCTATGGCTTCCAATTGCCTAGTGTCAATATCTTTCGTAATTTGTTTAATAAATACTCCATCTGCTGTTTCTGATTGTTTGGTATCCACTTCTTCTATAGTTTCTGATTCTTTGGTATCCACCTCTTCTATAGTTTCTGATTCTTTGGTATCCACTTCTTCAATTGTTTCTGATTGTCTGGTATCCATTTCTTCTGTAGTTTTCGATTCTTTGATACTCACTTCTTCTATGGTTTCCAATTGTTTGCTATCCATTTTTTCTGCAACTTCTGATCGAAAAGTATTTATTTCTTCTGTAGCTTTCGATCGCCTTTTCTCAATTTCTTCTGAAACCTTTGCTTGTTTAGTATCCATTTTCTCTAATGAGTCTAACTGTTTAGTATCCATTACTTCTGCCGATATTAACTGATTCTGATTAGTATCCATCTCTTCTACAGTTTCTGATTGCTTAGTATCTACTTCTTCCACAGTTTCTGAATGCTTAGTATCTACTTCTTTTACAATTTCTGAATGTTTAGTATCCACTTCTTCCACAGTTTCTGAATGCTTAGTATCCACTTCTTTTACAGTTTCTGAATGCTTAGTATCCACTTCTTTTACAGTTTCTGAATGCTTAGTATCCACTTCTTTTACAGTTTCTGAATGCTTAGTATCCCCTTCTTCTATAGTTTCCGAATGCTTAGTATCCACTTCTTCTATAGTCTCCGAATGTTTAGTACCCACTTCTACAGTTTCTGAATGTTTAGTATCCACTTCTTCTACAGTTTCTGAATACTCGGTATCCATTTCTTCCAAAGTTTCTGAATACTCGGTATCCATTTCTTCCAAAGTTTCTGAATGCTTGGTATCCACTTCTTCTACAGTTTCTGAATGTTTAGTATCCACTTTTTCTACAGTTTCTGTATGCTTAGTATCCACTTTTTCTACAGTTTCTGAATGCTTAGTATCTATTTCTTCTACAGTTTCCGAATACTTAGTATCTACTTCTTCTACAGTTTCCGAATGCTTAGTATCCACTTCTTCTACAGTTTCTGAATGCTTAGTAACCATTTCTTCTACAGTTTCCGAATGCTTAGTATCCATTTCTTCTACAGTTTCCGAATGTTTAGTACCCACTTCTTCTACAGTTTCCGAATGCTTAGTATCCATTTCTTCTACAGTTTCCGAATGTTTAGTACCCACTTCTTCTACAGTTTCCGAATGCTTAGTATCCATTTCTTCTACAGTTTCCGAATGTTTAGTACCCACTTCTTCTACAGTTTCCGAATGCTTAGTATCCATTTCTTCTACAGTTTCCGAATGTTTAGTACCCACTTCTTCTACAGTTTCCGAATGCTTAGTATCCATTTCTTCTACAGTTTCCGAATGTTTAGTACCCACTTCTTCTACAGTTTCCGAATGCTTAGTATCCATTTCTTCTACAGTTTCCGAATGTTTAGTACCCACTTCTTCTACAGTTTCCGAATGCTTAGTATCCATTTCTTCTACAGTTTCCGAATGTTTAGTACCCACTTCTTCTACAGTTTCCGAATGCTTAGTATCCATTTCTTCTACAGTTTCCGAATGTTTAGTACCCACTTCTTCTACAGTTTCCGAATGCTTAGTATCCATTTCTTCTACAGTTTCCGAATGTTTAGTACCCACTTCTTCTACAGTTTCTGAATGCTTAGTATCCACTTCTTCTACAGTTTCTGAATGCTTAGTATCCAATTCTTCTACAGTTTCTGAATGCTTAGTATCCACTTCTTCTACAGTTTCTGAATGCTTAGTATCCACTTCTTCTACAGTTTCTGAATGCTTAGTATCCTCTTCTTCTAAAATTTCTGAATACTTAGTATCCACTTCTTCTAAAGTTGTTAATTTCTCAGTATCCATTTCTTCTGCAGTTTCTAATTGCTTAATATTCATTTTTTCTAGACTTTTTGGTCGTTTAGTATCAATTTCATCTGTGGTCACTTGTTGCTTAGTATCTGTTTCTTCTATGGTTTCTGGTTGTATGGAATCCATTTCTTCTGATAGTTCTAATTGTTCAGTAACTATTCCTTCTATAGCTTCTGGTAACTTAGTATTAATTTCTTCTATAGTTTCTGATAACTTAGCATTCATTTCTTCTATAGTTTCTGATAGCTTAGTATTCATTTCTTCTGTGGTTTCTAATTGTTTAGTATTCAATTTTTCTGTAGTTTCTGATGGTTTAGTATTTATTTCTTCTGCAGTTTCGAATTGTTTGTTACTCATTTCTTCTATAACTTCTAATTGTGTAGTACTCATTTGTTCTAGAACTTCTGATTGCTTAGTATCCTCTTTTAGAGCTTCTAATTGCTTAGTATCCTTTGCTTCTGAAACTTCTGATTGCTCAGTGTCATTTTGTTCTTGAATTTCTGATTCTTTAGTATCCACTTCCTCTACTGCCTCTGATGATTCAGTGTCCATCACTTCTGTAATTTCCAATTGCTCAATATCCATTTCTTCTATCATTTTAAACTGCTTGTCTGCTATTTCTTCTTCAATTTCTGATTGCTTAGTATCTGTATCTTTTACGCTTTCCAATTTTTTAGTATTCATTTCCTCTATAGTCTTGAATTTTTCAATAGTCACTGTTTTTGTACTTCCCTGTTTCTCAATATTCATTCCTTCTACTTCTTCTGAAACGTGCACATTTTCTGTTTCTTCTGGATTATCTTTAATATGCAGAGTATCAGAAAATTTACTCTCATTGGAATTGTTTTGAGATTCAAATTGTGCAGAATCTACCTTCTCGTTATCATCCTCAGCAGCGATCACTGCAACAGTAACATTCATTTTATCAGATATTATTGTATTAAATTTGTCGACATTCTCAATGTTTGAAGTATTCGTATCTTCTTTTTCTTTCTGACTTGTTTCCTTTATGTCTATTTTATTTTCTTCTGTTTTATATTCTTCCTGTTCGTCTACATCCATATGTTCTATATTTTCTTGAATTTCCAACTTTTCTTCTGTTATTTCTGTTTCAGGTTTCTGCACTATTGAAGCTAATAATTCATTTTCGGATTGCATGCTATGTTCTACTTCCATTTCTGTGTATTCTACAGTCATTGATTCTTGTTTTGCTTCTATAATATTTTCTTCTTTTTCTTCTAATATTTTTATTTCATTTTTATCCATTTCTATAGTATCAACTATTACATCGTCTATTATACTTTCCGAAACAATATTTGTAGGACTATCTACTTTACATTCTGTCTGAATTTCTATTTTTTCTGAATTATTAAATACTTCCTGTGCATCCACATTAATATCAAAATTTTCTATAGTCTCAATAAGTGTATCCTTATTTGTACATGTCCCATCTAAATTTATTTTACTAAATGTTGTAGTAGCATTGCCTGTACCACCTTGTGAGTTACAAGATTCATTTATTTCCTCCTTTTCTTCCTTAGACATTAAAGTATTCTGATTAACTGTATCTACCGATTCCACATCGTCTGTTTTCATATCTTGAGAATCTCCCGAACTGTAGGCCTCACCAATAAGTTGTAGACTGCCACAAATACCACTGTCACATTCTACAGTTCTATTTACATTTCCCTTGCTAATTACAGTCTGTAAAATACACTCCTGATTAGATTGATTATGTTCGACATTTACTTTAACTGAAACATCAGCATTTTCAACATCTTTAGGATTAACAACAGCTATAGAGTCTATAGATACATTATGTTCACAATTGTTTTTAGTATCATTATTTTCCTGTTGATTTCCTAGCACCTTATCTCTTATCATGGTACTTTCACCTTTCACTGTTTCAACACCAAGAGTTTTCTCATCATCTACCGTTGATGTCAGACATCGATTCTCAGTAGATGTTTGAACAGCATCGTTGTCTTCGATTTCCTTCCCCTGCTGTGCTGGGCACTTGCCTTCAGCTATATTCTGTCCCCCATCAGTCTTAGACTCTGTGATAATCTGAGACAATGCAGCTATTTCACTCTCTAAAGTAGAATCACTGACTGGTTCCGACTGTACACCAATAATGTCATTGATATCCATAATGCTTAATGCTTCTGTGTCATAGGTTTCAGAATCGCTATCAATACAATAGGGAGCATATCGGTCGGGCGAGTCATCTTTGATTTCTGTTTCCTTTGTCTTGTCTTTAGAGCCAAACAGGCCCATCTTAGAACTTTCAGACATTGTTTTGATATGTCGCGTAGGGCGCATCAAACCTATGGTCGCGGCCTTGCTTTTCCTCCGGCTTAGAATTATGAAGCAAGTAGAGAAACTGCTCCTCCTCTGATTGGTTGACGCTTCACAGTTAAACACTACTGCCCTCACAGTTTTAGACAAAGGGAGGAAGTAACGAGTGAGCAAGAGAGCACGACATTAGCACAACACAAGCGAAACAAGTCACACCGACGACCTACAGCTTGTCTCACTTTACCATGCTTGTGATCTCACTCTATTCGCGCATCCGTTTGCCTGGTGCTCCATATGAAACACTCGGTGTGATATTTAACTTATGCGGTTTAGTAGGCGTGTGCGGGATCCCNCGTTCAGCGAACTTGAACGACATTCGGTTTCACAAGCTTCACGTACAACCGGCGAGTACCACCATGAACACCATAAGCGACACTGGCCAACATTTACCTTCTTTAACGCATTTCGAACAACAGGAATATCCCGAACCGACTATTATTTTGACTTTTCGCGATAATCACGCGGACTCCACTGCTTACACCGAACGGGATATCCACGTAAAATGGCGACCATTCCTTTGTACCTTCTAACGGGATTACAACTGTAGAAGCGCCGCCGTTATTGGTGAGTTTTCTCGTTCTGTCGGTTGAATTTCAGGAAGCAGCCAATCACAGGATTCCTTACATACTCGGGCGCAACCAGCTTGCTTGATGGTAGCGAAGTTTCACAATTGTCCCGCACAAGTCGCTACCGAGCAAAATGGTAGTATTTAGGCGTATTCTCATTACCGCGATTAATTTAGAAACACGCACGTATATCAAGCGGTTAACTACACTGGTCAACGACACTTTTGCGTTTTGACAACCGTAAAAGAATTTTTCTGCACATACACGTATCGAGAAATTACAATTTAAAAGATCACCAAATTTTTAACTACACTAAGAATATTTTCCGATAAAAAACTATTTTGTTAACACTTCCTAGCGTCTCAGTGTACTGAGCAGTGTACTGTGCGATGTCGCAGGCAAAGCATTTATGTGGGAGCAGGTAGAGACACTGCTTTCCTCTGATTGGTTGACGCTTCACAGGTGAACAGTGTTGCCCTCACGGTTTTAGACAAAGAGAGGAAGTAGGGGGTGAGCAAGAGAGCACGACATCGGCACAACCACAAGTGAAACAAGTCACACCGACGACCATTGTAGCTTGTCTCACTTTACCATATTTGCGATCTCACTCTATTCGCGCATCCGTTTGCCTGGTGCTCCATATGAAACACTCGGTGTGATATTTAACTTATGCGGTTTAGTAGGCGTGTGCGGGATCCCGATGTTACGGGATCGAGACGAGATGAAGAAATTCGAGCGAGATCGAGCGGAATTCCGATACATTTTACTGCTCGAAATCTCGAGATCGCGAATGTTTCGGGACTCCCGAAAGCTTCGAGACTGTGCTCGGTTCTCGGGTGGTCTCGGGCAGTCTCGGGCGATCTCGGATGATTTCGGTCTCTACGCATGCATAGGATATGTAAGAATCTACAAGCGTTGCACGCGATCTGTTCGGGTTTCAGTTGTCAACTACACACTGAAAATATAAAGTGAAAACGGAACAATAATGATATGTCTTTGATAATATTTGAAAATGATAATATAGAATAATTCGCACTGCGCTTGATCTTATGTAAACATTAAATAAGAAGGATATAAATAAAAAATACAATCTTTAGAATGTCATATGAAAAACATAGAATAATTTGAGTTTTATTAAAATTGGTTGATAACATAGTTACGTGTACAAGAGCATGTTCATTACTGGAGAATATTGAGCAACTCAATATTGCACTTACATTGCTATGTTTTCTACATAGAGTGAGGTTTAGAGTGAGATCGCATGCATGGTAAAGTGAGATGGCCCAGGTTTGTTGTCCGTGTGGACACTACTTATAAAGCACGCTGTTTTCGTTCTATCTCACTCTCGATCATCTCCTGTTCTCTTTCTAAAGCATAAAATAGTGGGGATAATGATGTTTACATACAGTAATGGGACCTACTCCTGTATGATTTTCTTACTTCCTCAGCTGCCGCATACATCTATACCATTTTACTACACATCCAATCCGCAGTGGATCCTGTCTCAGCAGTGAATCGTTAACCAATCAGAGCAAAGAAAATTTTTGTATCGACCCTCGTTAACGGATTAAGCTGCGGCCTGAAGGTATGCAGGTGTAGGACTCATTATTGTACTATGGTAAAGCAGAAATGCTTACTATGGTGAGGCATGTCTGTACAAAACACTGTCTTCATAGTCTGTTTACAATTATGATGTATATTAGAAGCGAAACTTCTGTCGAAATCTGCGATGTTCTTGATCCCTAAATTGAAACGTAAAAAAACGCGGCAATATTTGGATGTAATAAATTTGTGAGAAAAGATTTATTTACGAGATTGCAATATTTGTAACTGATAGTTGGATAATCAATTCGATCTATTCATCTATACAAGTTTTATTTACATACAGTATCGTGGAATACCTTTTAAACAGTAATAAATGTTTAAAAATTCTTTCATTAAAACATTGTTTTAAGAAAAATCATTTTATTGGTCGTGCAATATTTTTTGCATTTCTTTTTATGGTGTTAATCAATATTTGCAAGTCTGAATTAGGCTTCATCTTCTGATATTTGCTTTCACGTTCCTGAAAAATTCAGAGAAATTTGAAATCGAACATGCACAAATGCAAAACGTGATGTATGAAATAATTTCTACGTACGTGTATGGGGTCGCTATCTGCTCTTCTTTTCAATTTCTCTTCAATTAAAGCCTGGGTACCCTTACTTTTCCTATAATGTGGATCTGCTGGATCTATATTATAGTGATGCGATGTAAACAATGTATTGAACCTTGGATCTCGTACATTTACTTCGAAATTATCTTCCTCTATCTGCTGTGCGTTTTTCTTTTTACTAATTCGTTTTTGTTTCGATTTCGTCATTGTAGCATTTTCTTCAATTTTCTTCATATTGAAGTGTCGTTTACCGTCATTTTGATGTTCGTCCATTAAAAGAAGTTCCAATTCAGCTTTACGTTTTTCTTCGTTGTCATCGTCCTCAGATAGAGACGTATTACCATTTTTCTTTGCCTTCTTCTTTCCAGAGAATTTTTTAGTCGTAATTTCTTCATCTCTTTTACTATCATCCGAATCAGACTCTTCAAAATTTGCGGATGCAATATTATTTCCATCTTTGCGTTTCTTTCGCTCTTCCTGTTTAGCTTTCTTTTTGGCTTTACGTTTCTCCAAGTATTGCTCAAATGGTGTTAAGTTCTCATTTTTCTTCATTTTCTCTTCTACCAATTTTTCAGCCTTTTGTTGCGTTCCCAAACCCCACGTGAATTCTAATTCAACGTCTTTGTTTTGCTTTGCTTCTTCCTTTTCTTCAATCTCTTTTAACAGAGCTTTATACTTTTCAATTGGATCAACATTTGTTTCCGCATCGGATTCCTCTTTGTTCTCTTCCTTCTTTTCTACATCTTCTTCTATTAATAAAAAATGTTACTAAAAGATATTGAAAATATTAAATAATAAAAGAGCATAGAAATAATACCTGCTTCGTCGTTACTTGAATCAGTAGCTAAATATGCATGTAGATCCCTATCTTTAATGTCATTCAATTTTCCAGAATTCAATCTCTGTGCAATCTCCAACCTTTCTGGATTTGTCTCGTCCCATGTTAGCTGCACATTAACTTGCTGCAGAGCTGTTGTAGTAAACTGTCTTGGTTCATACTTAGAAAGCTCTGGTATCTCGTTGCAAACTTCTTTTGGAGTCTTAAAGTAGGCATATAAGGTTATATGTAATGAATACATTTAACATACTTTAAGACTAAATAACATACCTGATCAAACTCTGTATCATCTGGTATAAATCTGAGATCCAACTTCGTTGCAGTAGATTCGTATTCTGTGCCATCACACTCCGTGTAAATTTTATTTGCAGTTTCAGGCGAATCAAAAATAACAACAGCATAGTAATATTTCAATCTTTTTAATTGGTATTGCCTCAATTTTTCCATGTGATATGCTGATCCTTCTTCATCCTAAAATGTTGCAAAATCCCAAATTCGTTTATATGTGCTATTCATATTTTTCATATGATCAAATCTAAATAAATAAATCATACATCATTTTCATCATCAAAGTCTTTCTTGTTGCTCGTTTCTATTAATTCTTTAGGGCCCGTGATTTCTTCTTCCTTCATGCGTTGCAAGCCAAACTCTGAAGGATAGATCTGAAATTATTGTGTTATAAGAATTCATAAGTATACTCACTTTTCCATGATGTTTTAATGATTAGTATACTTACAGTAACTGAACGAATGATGCCACCACTTGGTAAAAATGAATTAAACAAAACCATTAAATCTATAGCACGGATTCTATCCCAATCCATATTACACACTGCCAATCTATGTGTGATTTCATCTGTTGTATCAGCTTCCTTATCCAATTCACCCCAGTTATGTTCAATCTCTTCATCTAATTTAAATATACAACATTAATTTCAAAATAGTATTGTTCATTTAATTATTGAAAATGCTGACTACACAATATTTATATTACCTGAGACTTCCTCACTATCATCATCATCGGAAGAACTGTCTGTCACTAAAACTCCTTCACCTCTTGCATAATTTATACTTAAATCTCTTAATTTTTCTTTTATTTTATCTGTAAGCTTGTTAGATTCATTTTTTCTTTTAATATGCAATTGTTTCTTACTCTCTTTCAAGTCTGCTCTTAAACTATCTCTATTTGAAGCATTGTCTTCGCTGGACTCAGACTCAGATTCATTTTTAGACTCTGTACGTTTTTCAAAATCTTTAGTACATTCTTGTGGCTTAATTCTAAGTAATTCTCCATTGCTTGAAAAACAATTATCTGATGAATCACTATTTTCATCATCATCCTTATCACTCAAATCATTCTTTACATAGTTCATATCTTTTGACTTATGTTTTAGTTGTTTGTCGTTATTCTTTTTTCTACCTGATTTCTCTTGCTTCATTTTCTGTTTACTTTCAATGGTAACAGGTTTCTGTTTAATTATTTTTTCTTTTTCATTTTCTACCTCTTCCTCTTCATCCTCCTCACTGCTGGATAAGTCATAATACTTTCTCAGATTTTCCGATGATGTTTGGCTTCCAGGCCTGCCTCTTTTGTCAATGGTATATCGAACAGCAAATTTTTTATCCTTAAACATACCTTGGAATCTCTTATCTATCTTTACTTTGCGTTCTGTTTTTGGAATCCTTTTAAATTTAGGATCCTTCGCAACATGAGCAAACCGTGCATCGCTTAGTAGTGCATCCATGCTAAAATGTATAAATAACAGCGTAAACATTATAAAATTTTATAAACTATGTACATTTATTACTTACGTGACCTATTTATTTAAAAATAAATAAATACACTATTACTTAAATCCAATAAATTGAATAATAACAATCAACAAAGAAGTATGTACATACGACGTACACATCTATTAGACCATGTGCTTACAAATTGAAACATGTACAGTCTGGCTCCGGAGGAATTATTTCTTTTTGGATTAAACCTAGAACGCCATCTTTATACAATTCATTATAACCATAAAGAGCACTACATACCATGTCGGTACGTCAGATAGTGTTCACAGACACATATTCATATGCATCTTTCACAGCGTTTTGCTAAGTTAATTGCGAGTATTGACATTTCGTATAGTAGCTGTCGCGTGGTGGGTGTCGTATTATCAGTGAAACGTAAATAGTAACGTTACGTGAAGTATAATTCTGTAATTACATGAACTATACACTTTAAATTAGTACATACTGCTAAGATTACGTGAAACAAAATTTGTGACAATGAAATTTTGAAATTGTTTTATAGATTTATGTACGATACCATACGACTTTACAACATAGGTACAATACATTTTTACTCGAATTATTTATAATAAATATTAGAATACATATCTACACAGTTTATGTTAATGAATAGTAATGTTTTAGACAGTGTTAGTCCTGCTAACTCGTTGCATATATTAGTTGTATTGTTTGCAACATGTCAACTCTGGAGGATAAGATTCTAGGAGAAAAGTTGCAATACTATTGCAGTAGTTCCAGCGAAGATGAAGGAAATGATTCAGTAGATTCTGATAAAGAATCAGACAACGACAAATATCAGGGAACAATCACAGAGTCTTTAGAGCCATCATTTTCGGAATGGGATGGTACTTCTAGTAACACAGGACCAAAGGGTGTTATAAAAGTAAGACATTATACTCAATTTGATTCATTTATTAATTATAACATTATCCTAATACATTATGATGTATTCTAAAGGATTGGCAACGCTATAAACAATTAGAAGCTGAAAAGAGAGAAGAACAAGAAAAAGAAAGACTACAGTTGATCAAAAAATTGAGCTTAAGTTGTCGTAGTTCCTTAGATGAAGAGAAGGAGAAAATTTTGCAAACTGATCCTGATCTTGCTGAGTTGCTGACAGATGAGTTTCTCTTGGAATATCAGAGACATAGAATGAAGGAAATGATTGCTCAAGCAGAAAAGCTACGTTTTGGCAGAGTTATTAATCTAGAAACAGCAGGTCATTTTTTTGAAGCAATTGACAATGAAAATAAATCTGTAACAGTTGTTGTGCATGTTTATGAAAATAATGTGCCTGGCTGTGAAGCTATGAATGGATGTTTAATATCCGTTGCAGAAGACTATCCTTTTGTAAAATTTTGTAAAATTCTAGGTTTGTAATTCTGTTTACATTACATGATTCAATTGTTCTATTCAAATATTTTGTATTAATTTTGATACAGGTTCTGTGGCTGGTCTCAGTAGACATTTTCAAAGACAAGGAGTCCCAGCTTTGTTAGTTTACAAAGCAGGTCAAATAATAGGGAATTTCATACATGTAACGGATTACTTAGGAGTAGATTTTTATTCGTCGGACGTTGAAGCTTTTTTAATAGAACATGGCATGCTGACTGACAAAAATTGTGTACCTGCCATTATCTCGCGAAACGAGGATACGCTGTCGGACAGTGAATAAAAAAACAATGGACAAACTTTTTTTAATAATTTTTAATATTATCTTTCTAGTACATCCTGTATTAATTCATTATATGGATCAATAATAATGTCAATCATCATACTTCTTCTATCATCATTCAATAACAGTAATATATAATAATGTACTTCAAAATAATATCATTTCGTTCCTAATAAGAAATTAATTTATATAATCGAACAAAGTATCAAAGGACATTGTAAATATTTGTATCTGGCTTAGTAAAAAATATAAATCTATGCATAAATATTTGAAAATCCTTACTATTTTTACATTACGACTACTTCATAGTTTCTCTAAAATCTGTCTTTTTTTCTGAATAGCTTTGCAAAATTGTAAGTAAGTTTTCAAGATACTACTATATTCTGCACTTTGCAAATTATCGTACTGTTTCTTCAGATTTTCCTTTTGTTTGATTTCATTCATTGTGGCAAACAATTTTTCATCTAGAATCGAGTTTAATGTTTTGTAGGCTTCAATGGTCATTGGAGTCTCCATGAACATATTCTTAATGCAAGACAATTTTGTGATTTGTGCTTTAACTTTTGCAATTTCAGCTTCCACCAACACAAACTCTGCTTTCTCTAAATAAATACGATTGAGATCTTTATATTTAAGATTTCTCCAACTGTCCAGTAAACTCTTGCATCTGGTAATATCAGCTTTGTACTGTTCACACAATTCTTCAATCTTATCTTTACATTGATACATTTCAATTTCATAAGGTTGAAACAATTTTTTACGCATATTACAGTCATTTGATCTCATTACTTCTTTCATATTTCCTCCCAATTGTTTGTAACTGAAATATTTTCAAGATTAGTATAAATTTTTATATTGTCAAATCTAAACAGTTATAAATGTATTAAACCTCAGAACAAAATCATGTATCTTTTCCCTAAGTAATGCTTCTACGTAACATTTAATATTTAATTTTTCTTCATAGTCGAGATCATATTCTGGTACATCAGTAATTCCTAAGATTGTTAATTTTTCTTGTACATTTAAAGATGTTGGTGGCAAGTGCATATATTCATTGATCTCATGAATCAAAAGTAATCCTTTCAATTTGCTAACAGTATGTTCAGACAATGTTTTGTTTGTATTCATGGATGCTTCTTTTATACATTTTAAAATTAGTTTGTTCTTTGCATGATTTCCTATGCTTTCTTCCAACAAAGCCAAATTTTGTATGGCTTTCTGAAGATGATTAGATCCTTGATTCTGGCATATAGTACTCCTATTTGTACTATTGATGAAGTTACAATGGTCTGTTAAATTTTGCAACGAATCTACTCTACCCATTAACCTACTACAATTCACACGGGATATCCGTGATATACTATGAATATCTAAAAAGGAAAAATATTAATATTATTCAGAAAATTGCATCGTCAATATGCTGAGACCCATCTACGACAGTTCAAACCGTCAATTGTTAATTACCGAATAATTACATACCGGAAATTTGACTTAAATCACTGAAACTCATGTTATTTATTTATAATACATTAAACTTGTCACTATGAAAAATAAACATTCATCGAAAATATATATATATGTATAGGTAACTTTCGAATTCAAACGGTTATGGAAGCTGAGGGAAACGTGGGAAGTGGGAAGTCGTCAAGATCAACGTTGTCAATCGAAAAAAAAAGGAAGTCACTAGAAAATCCTTATAATGAAAGTTGTTATGTTACTTCTAAAATAAAAGATATAATTGATATAGAGATAATTCGTTATTTTAGTACTCTAATTGTTATTGTTCATTTTATTGTAAATAACATGTGCTCAAGTGTGCAGTAACAATGTTTTAACCAATCAGAGCAAAGATGAAACATACACTTCGAGCTAGTAAACATTTGCAGATGGATTTCAGTGGTTCAGTGTTCAGTCCGTCGTAGCACTTAGCGGATGTAGCGGTGTTTGTTGGGATTGGGATTGGGATTTAGACTTTCACATTTAGTCTAAAAAATGGCGGCTAGTATCAATGGTGTATTCAGTGATAATTTACAACATGCGATATTAGAAAGTAAAGTGCTCATCGTGGGCGCTGGTGGGATCGGATGCGAAATACTAAAGAATCTTGTTATGACTGGATTCACCGACATCGAAATCGTAAGAACTAAAAGCCGATAACTCATAGCGTTGTTCTAACCTATCTATTTTCCCTCCTTTACTTGAATGCATTGATATTGAAAATTTCGAACCGGTATTCATGTTACCCTCTTCTCATTTCATTGTGTTATGATTTTGTAATAAATATTATCGAATAAAATCCATTCCCTATTTTTATTCGATCTATTCTCGATTGCATGTATGAATAATAAATAAACATACGTTGTTTTTAGATTGATCTAGACACGATCGACGTAAGTAACTTAAATAGACAGTTTTTATTCCAAAAAAAGCACGTGGGAAAATCAAAAGCACTTGTTGCAAAACAAACTGCACAAACATTTAACCCTGATGCAAAAATAGTTCATTATCATGACAGTATTACATCGTAAGTATCTTTACGCACGTGCATGCTTTAACAATAATTTATGATAATTATATATACATCTCTATGTCTATAGCTCTGATTATGGCGTTTCATTTTTCAAAAAGTTCAAGTTGGTTATGAATGCTCTTGACAATCGAGCAGCCAGAAATCATGTGAATCGAATGTGTTTAGCAGCAGATATACCTTTAATTGAATCTGGCACTGCTGGTTATGAAGGACAAGTAGAACTTATTAAGAAAGGATTAAGTCAGTGTTATGAATGTACTCCAAAAGCTGCACAAAAAACTTATCCCGGCTGTACAATAAGAAATACTCCCAGCGAGCCTATCCACTGTATAGTATGGGCTAAGCACTTATTCAAGTAGGTTTCTAGATTAGTAGTCTCTATTATAAGTATATAAATCAATGTAAGAAAACACTTTTGGATTTTCTATAGTCAATTATTTGGTGAAGAAGATCCCGATCAAGATGTTTCTCCAGACACTGCTGATCCAGAAGCAGCAGGTAGTGCTAACATGCTTATAATAATATCTATTAAAATTTTAACACATTAATCTTTACGCAGGAATTTTTTTTATTACAGACACAGCAGGTGATGGTGCTTTGAATTCAGAATCAAATGATAAAGGAAATGTTGATAGAATATCCACAAGGGCTTGGGCACAATCAAATAGCTACGATCCAGAAAAGTTGTTCACAAAACTATTCCACGATGATATAAAATACTTGCTTAGTATGGATAATCTGTGGAAGAAGAGAAGACCTCCCACTCCTCTGAATTGGAAAGAACTACCAGATGGAGGTTTGTCAAATAGATCATCAAAATGATTGAGTTAATCGATACACTACATTACAACTTTTTATGATATAGTACCAGGGTGTAGTAAAGAAGTAAATGAACCTGGATTGAAAGATCAACAACGATGGAGTATTTCGAAATGCGGATCCATATTTTCTGAAGCAATAAAAAATTTGAGTAAAGCAGCTTGCAAAGAAAATCTTGTTTGGGATAAAGATGATCAAAGTTCAATGGACTTTGTGGCAGCTTGTGCCAACATTAGAGCTCACATTTTTGGTATACCTCAAAAGACCAGATTCGATATAAAGTGTAAGTAATTAGTTGTGTACTAGTTTTGAAAGAAAAATAACAATGATATTTTATTGTTTCTTTTATAGCAATGGCAGGGAATATAATTCCAGCAATCGCAACTACAAACGCGATAGTAGGTGGTCTTGTCGTTCTCCATGCTTTTTGTGTTTTGGAAGATAAATTAAAGGCGTGTAGATCTGTATATTTACGCTCAAAAATGAATCATCGTAATCAATTGCTCGTTCCAGAAAAGAACGTAAATCCGCCAAATCCAAAATGTTATGTATGCGCTCCAACGCCACAGGTTGTATTAGCGGTTGATACATCTAAGATGACAATCAAAGAGTTAGATGAAGTAATATTAAAGAATAGATTGAATATGGTGGCTCCAGATGTCTGGATAGATGGTACCGGTACAATTGTTATTAGTAGCGAAGAAGGAGAAACCGAAGAAAACAATGATAAAATTTTAGAACAATTAGGAATTAAAGACGGTACTATTCTTAAGGTCGATGATTTTCATCAAAATTATTCACTAACTGTAATCGTGGTCTATAGAGAACGACCAAATGTAAAGAGTGACAGTCCAGATTTCCTCATCTTATCAGATGAGCAGGACTTAAAGCCTGAAAAAGAAAATGATTTGGCAAAACCATCTACTTCAAATGGCTTGGTAAGTAAAAGTTTGTTATACAAATATAATACATCTTGTAAATTTATGTGCTTTATTAATTCATAATTGTACTTAGGTGGTGGATTATCAATCCGATGACAATGTAGTGATTGTCGAAGCTGATGTTGCATCGGAGACCGCAAAGAAACGTAAAATTCTAATGCCGGATGTTGCTTCTCCGAAGAAACGGAAAGTTGAAGCTAATGATGATAATGATATATGTATAATTGAAAATGATGTGAATAACGATACCACTAGTGTTGTTGCGGTATCAAAACCAAAACGTAAACTATCGGAAGATGATGACTGTGTAATTATGCATGACGATAACATGCAGCCGACTGCTACTTCGCAGTGAATGAATCATCTGAATCATCATGTTTTGAATTTAAGATATACAAATTGAAAAATTGAGACACAATATACTAATTTACCTAAAGCTAAATGTATGTTTATACGAAATACTGTTATGCACATGAATTCCAGTAGTCGAATTGCGTTTAATTTTATAAGTACGATCCTGAATTAAAATAGGAAACGTAATTGTTAGTGATTGTCAGTCGAAGCGATAGTGTTGTGGGAATGAATGTGGTGTATACAATAATGATCTAAACGCATTAATACGACTATTTTGATTGTATTCCTTATGAGTATTTATGAAAATGCGTAATTTTATGTTTCTAGTATATCATTTCATGAGTGTACCATACATTTTTATATAAAAAGAAATAAATACTTTTTGGTACTATAATCTATCCTTACTCACAACTGGATCAACATAACAATTAATTCTTTTTATTTGTACAAAATATGTATCGGTTCAAATCATAATTGTACATTTCAAAATCGATTTTATATCTTTCGTACAATTTAAAAATAATATCCTGTGATAAATTCCGGAAATATTTACACGTGGTATCAAAATTAGTATAGCCTCCTCGAGTTTTTTCCAATCTCGGTAAATATGTGTTCTTGTAGTTTAGTCCTAATCTTGAAAAAACATAATTTATCTGTCCGTATGTATAATTGTCCAATTTCAAAATATAATTGTATCGTATGTTACACACACTGCAATGTGTATAATAGTGATCCCAATGAACATCATCTTGTTCTGAACTTTGAAGGAGCCACAGCGCGAATTCTTTAAAAGTTGGTATTAGTTTTAATCTGAGGAAATTCACATATAAAATCTCACTGATTAAATGATGCTAAGATTTTGTTACACGGAGTAGTACCTTTTATCGTGCGTAAATACTCTTTCTTGAAAATCACCAGTGGATATATTGGAACGAAAAAGATGAGGTCTTGTAAGGTAAAAAATCTTTTTAGCATAAATCCAAGCTTGTGCTGTATACTTTGAATTGTCTTCTATACGATCTCTGAAATTTACAAATATTTAGCAATAGAAATAAAATGCATTATAAAAGGAAATATATACCTATATGATGACACAAGTCGTTGAAAAGGATGTCGTACAATTAAAAGTTTGAATGTGTTCTTATCATTTACAATGTGATGCAGTTCTTTTTGAGTTTTCGGCGCCAAAAAATCGACTTCTCTGCAAGAAAATTGTAAGATAAAGCACCAATTTTATTAAATTAATAAATTAGCTTTACCTGTAATAATCATGTGTAACTTGACGATTTTTCATGTCTGAAAATAATTTTGTAAAAGTTGTTGAAGCGATCTTACGAATCCAACAATACACAGATTTTCGTTCAGAGTCATATAAAAAATGTCTTCTTGTCAATGGAGTTTTTAAATTGTATTTATCACATATTTTTGAAATTTGATGCAATAAGGATATGCTTTCCTAGCAAAACAAGTTCATCGTCATTATGCATATAATGTACTCTGCATTTTAATCATTTCAATTCGTTTACCTGTGAATTAATCGGGTCACTAATTATTTCATTACGTTCTGAACTGTTGATTGCTTTCGTAATCGTTTGTTGTACGATTATGTACTTTTCCTTCGATTGATTAACAAAAAGAGGTAAATCGGATCGTACCACAAAATCAGAACGGTGTTTCATCCTCAACCAAATAAAACAAACGATAATATACAAAATGACACACACCATGCATTTTATAAACTGTACTCTAAACGACATAATTCAAACTGGATGTGCGCATCCTAATAGATAGATATGAGATTGAAACTTCCGTCTTTGAATTGTCTGCGGGGGTGGAAATGAAAGATAAGATTTATCTTCAATTTCCATTGTTTTTTGGTCTTCATTTTTCTTAATTAAGACGCTATTATTTTAATTGTGATTACGTTGATAAGGAAGGATGTGTAAAAAATAAAACGAAACGAATGTATGCATCTTGCACTTTACTATGAAATAGCGCCAAAAAACATGTAAATCAATGATTTCGGTACATAATCACGATGTTAGGCTGCTTCTGTAAATAAGCAATAGTGATGATTCAATAATTACATGTATGTTGTAAATGATTGGTATTATTAATCATGACAAAAATATTCTCTTTAAAAGTAGACGCTTCTTACAAAATTTTCGTTATAAAATTTTATTTATAATAACCGAAAGAATAATTAATGGTAACATTATGTTACATTAATTTGCTGCAAAAGTAAAGTTTCCAATCTACGGCAGT